TCTATTACATCATTCTGAAGTTTCTTCTGCTCATCTGTTGCTCTACTTTTTCAGTTTGTCACAAATGTCAAAGTTCTACACTTTCATCTGGAGTGGAATGAATACTTCAGAAAAGAAACTTGTGGAAGAGTTATGCAACGGACCTTTTGTGTTTGTCCCTTGTAAACTGGTTGCTTCACATGAAGCTGTTGTACCTGGTGTTTTTTTGTCATCTAAAGAAGTCTTTTGGCATGATTCAACTGGTTCGGTCGACCTCCTGAAGATGGTCTGCCCGGAGTTTGACTCACATTCAGTTCAGCACACCTTCACAAAAATGTTATGTAGTGTCTATCCAACCCTTCATGACTTCTTTGTGAAAGAATGTGGAGTGGATGAACATCCTCATTTTCGTGGATACCTTCAAATATTGCTGCAGCTGTCAGCTGCTGTTTTACCTTCACAAGGAGCTAAGAATGTAAGCTATCTTTATGCTAAAATACTTCTATTGTAATCTATGTAGCTCAGAAGCTTCCAAAATGTAGACGGCTGCATGTCAGATCTCCAAAAGGAGTGCATTTTGGAGGATCCGACATGGGTCTGGCAACATTTTTGAAGTGTCCAAGCAACAGAGATTGTACTAGTTGATGAATGATTTGATGATAATGAAACAATGTTTGATGAATACTTTAATTTAAGAATGAATTTGATGCTTTCTTCATTTAGGTATTCCATATATTTCTCAAGTGGATTGACGAGCTAAATTTAGGATCCTTGAGATCTGAAGATATTAGTTTCTTGAAAGAAGGTCTTTTGACGAAGGATTATCTGGTGCTTGCAACTGCAGAAGATAAATGGGTATCTCTGCACCCATCATTTGGGCTCATTTGTTGGTGTGATGATGATAAGTTGAGGAAGGAATTCCAGTATTTTGACAATATTAAGTTTCTCTACTTTGGGCAACTCAATGATGAGGAAAAGGAGATTCTCCAAACAAAATTTCCAATGTTCATGGACAAATTGAATATTCCTTCTATATCAAAGGTAAGCCAAGTTACACTGCTCTCCCTTTTCTTTTGTGTCCACATGCATATAGGAAAAATACTTGCTGTTTCTGAAAGAGGCGTTCTAAGATGCCAACTAGGCTCTCCTATATCTAGGAGTCGGGCTGCTCTAGTGTTCATCGTGTGTGGTTTACACTTCTGATGTACTCTCTGCCAACTACCTTGTCCTGCTTGCTACTCCCTCTATTTCGATTTAATGTGATGGTTTTTCTATGTTGGGTCATTCCTATGTATGTGACATCGTTCCACCAATGGAGTGCATTGTTTGTATATTTGTGGAGGGTTCTACTTAAAATTGATGTGATTTCAAAAAAAGTACAAAAAAATTGATGTGATTTCAGAAGTTACTTACCATATGGTTGATAAGTTAAACAAACAGTTTCAGTAAAATCCTCTCAGAACTAACAGATTAATCGTACTTCTTTTTCTTTCTAGAGGAGATGATTTTATTGAAGTCGGTGTTATATCTCAGAAGTAATCTAGCACACGATTGAATAATTAAAGCAAAACTAGTTTAGGACTTGCAGAGTATTTAAGTATCAGTCTTCTTTAGTCAAACTAAGATCTATCAAAATAATCGACACAGTTGTCTTTGCTCATAAGGAATCTGAATTATCCTTTATCCCACATTGAGTATGCTACTGTACTCCTTTGAGCTTCCTTTTGTCCCACGTTGACTATAATAATTCTATTGTATTGTTCCAGATGATTTCCACTTTTAAACAATTCTTTACTTTCTTAATATCCTACCAAAGAAAGTTGATTTTTTTGAAAAATTAACATTCTCTCAAAAAAAAAATTATCGAGACTTTTTTTTGTTTGTATAGGATATAGGAGGGGTCTGACTATGCTTCTAGATCTTTCTTTTCTTTTCTTTCCATCAATATGCATTACCTGCCTGTCCAAAATAAAAACTTGACTTCGCCTTAACACTCCTGCCTAGTCAGATGAAGACACTTATATTGTGACAGACACAGAGCAACATGACTCTCAGATCAATTTAAGACATTTATGTTTGATTTTTTCAGGTTGTAATGCGTGAAGCAATATATGATGGTCCAACAGACTCTAGCTTGGTAGCTTCTTTGATTAACTGGGTTCTACCATTTGCCCAGCGTTACATGTTTAACGTTCATCCAGAAAAGTATTTGCAGCTCAGCCAGTCTGGATTTCAGAACCTGAGATGTCTACAGATTGTTGTTGTTGAAAAGTTGTTCTACAGGAATGTTATAAGAAGTTCCCACATAGCATCGAAGAAACAGTTTGAGTGCAGTTGTCTGCTAGAGGTATTCTAATCACGACATCATCTATGGGTTTTTATATCCACTATTATATTACATATTACATACATGAGATGTTTGTGGAAAAGCTGTATGTTATTTGAATCTTCCTCAACTGTTTATGAAAAAAGGATATCTAATCTAATGGACTGGTTGAAATGTATTAAATGTAAGACCTCTTCCTATGCAGACCAAGACTAACACTTCTATATAGCGTTATACTATTGTTGAGTTATGACTCCTTCATGTTTTTTTGCGTGTTCTTCCTTTCAATTTCGGACTTTTTGTCTGAATCATAAATTTGTAAAACATGCCTGGTAGATCTCTTCATTTGTCTTCTCTTTTCCCAGTCTGGTTCATGGAGATCTAACATTATTAATGTATGTAACACTTAATTTTCGGACATGTCTACCTCTAATTGCCCGAATGTTTATTTGTGAAATCTCATTCCTTGTTAAAACGTAAAACAATGTATAGATAATTTATTTTTTCATTCTGTACAGGGAAACATCTTGTATGCCACTCAAGAGTCAGATTCTCACTCAATATTCATGGAGATTTCTCGTTTGTTATCTTCTGGAGCTCCCGACTTGCATTTGGCGAACTTTCTTCATATGATCACAACTATGGCAGAATCAGGTTCCAATGAGGAGCAAACTGAGTTTTTCATTTTGAATAGCCAGAAAATGCCCAAGCTTCCTGAAAGTGAATCTGTTTGGTCTCTCGCAAATGTCCCATTGTCAACAGATAGTGAGACAGGGGTGATGAGTTCTTCCAGAACAATTGATGAGAAAAACCCTGAGAAAATCAAGAAGAGACCGGGTATCAGCTCAAGCTGGCCACCTACTGACTGGAAAACTGCTCCTGGTTTTCATCGATCTAGCGTGTGCATCTCAAAAGGAAAGGCAGACAGTTGCATCCAATCGGAAAATAATACTGTGGGAGAAAGTGTAATGAAAACATGGGCGCTGACTGCAACTGGGATGACGTGTGTTGAAAATATGGACAACTATCCAGAATCAGCTGCAGTTGTTCTAGGTTCACAAGGTGTTGATCATGTACCTGGTACCATGATGGAAGCATTTGATTCTCCTCATGCCATGACTGAACCACATAACCCGAGTAATAGTTCTTCTGATGTGACTGAAAGAGATCAACTGCATACAGCCACAAATGGCAACAGTGACATTATGATTGAAACTGGCAGACTTGGAGAATATTTTGCTTTCAAATATTTCTTGGAGAAATTCGGTGAGCCTTTTGTGAAATGGGTCAATGAAACCAATGAAACAGGGCTTCCTTATGACCTTGTCGTGGGAGATGATGAATACATAGAGATAAAGACAACTAGATCGTCAACAAAGGATTGGTTCCATATTACCGCAAGGGAATGGCAGTTTGCGGTTGAGAAGGGTGAATCTTTTAGCATTGCCCATGTTTTCTTATCGCCCAATAATACAGGAGTAGTGACAGTATACAAAAATCCATTCAAACTCTATCGACTTGGTAAACTACGGTTAGCTCTCCTAATATCCAAGTCATGAAACTTTATAAGATGTACATAAGGTTGATTGATATACTAGATTCTTCGTTACTTCATACAATCTGGATGAAGTTTTATAGCAGACGATAGAATATGGTACCTGCTGAGTAGCACGTCGTTTTCAAAGTGCTGCGTTTGAGATTCATACCACATATTGACCTTACATTTGTTGGAGAAGCTTGAACTGGATTGCAGTTTTGCCTCCAGATACACCTTTGATTTCAGCTTAGCTACTTCTGTGTATACTGTAAGTCTCATTTTAGCAATGACATCAATTATGTATACAAAGATGTTCATTTTTTTACTTTAATATACCATTTACTCAAGCAAATCTGTGCACACATTTAATTTATGGAAAAGGTTTAGATTTGCCCCAATGCTCGTTATGCTTTTTTGATATATTTTTTCCTGTCGTTCAATTTTCAGATTATATTATTATCAGTCTGTTAAATGCTTTATGTCTCAGATTTATTTTCCTGTGTGGTGTCTACTTGTTCTATGTTTGTCTTTTTAAAATGAAGTTAATGAGAGTTACAAATGTTTTTTTCTATTTTAATTGAATGTTAATGAGGATAAGATGAAATGAAGATTAAGATAAATAGTTTTATGAAGTAAAAATATGTCATTTTCTTAATTACAAATTAAGAAGATAATTATTATACGTGGAGTAACAATTGAATGAAACCAAGGATCGTAACTTATTTGTTTCTTGCACCAAACATATTAGGAAAGACAAATTATCAACAATTATAGTCTATGTTGGGTCAATGGTCTCCGACTCTTAGATTTCGAAGTTGAAACTTCATACGTTTAATTTTTTGAATTTAAAATTATATTTGAACATGCATTATATTTGATAGAAAAAAGAACTTTTATGAATTGAAATATCAAAAACTAGCTCGAAAATTTGAAAATATATGATATCATCTTTTCAAAATCTAATTAAATTTTATGGTCAAACATATATTCATAAGATACAGATGAAATTATATTCCGATAAAATTTTCGATACATTTCAAATAGTTCCCAATAAAACCAACAAAATCAACCATTAAACCTTATCTAGTTTCAAAAATATCTCTCCACACCTTATCCATTCAATAAACTCACCACAATACAAAGCCCTATAAATTACAAGTCCTACTACTCCATCAAACACATCAAACTTGCTAGTACATACATAAATCAAATTGAATTGAATTAATCACATCTCAAAATGCAGGCAGCTTTGTTTCTTACATCTATTCCCCTAGTAAAACCACCCAAGCCCTTAACAACTTCACCTTTGAGATGTGTTTCAACTCATCTCAAAATTACTCACATTAAAGCAACTCCAATTGACACTTCTACTGTTGACTATAGCTCCATGAACTCGTAAGACTCGATTTCTATTTAACCCATAACTTGTTTAATTTTATAAGAACAAGATAATAACATCTATAATGTAGTCGTTAAAGAGTTTTGTTTAGTCTTTAGAGTTAGTCTTATAATATGTTTAATAATATGTTCAGATCAGTGTTTCCTGCTGAAGCTTGTGAGACAATAGGAGGAGAAACTTGTGATGTTGAAATGTATCCTGAAACCAAACCTAAATCTACACCCTCAAGCAAAACTCTGTCTATGGAGAGTGTAGATAGAGAATATCTTGCCTATAACGAACCAAAAACGTACGTATTTTTTTTGTTTTAATATATGTGATATCATTAGATTTGACATAAATAGAAATTTCAAAAAAATTGATTTGATGTGGAGTGTTGTAATTTTGGTTAATTTTTTTTTTTCATGCAGTGTATTCTTATCAGAAGCTTGTGATGATCTTGGAGGAGAATTTTGTGAAGCAAAGTATCAGACTGGAGTTTATTAAGAATAATATTGTTCATATTTATATGTAGATATATAATTAATTAATAACATGTGTTAATTTATGCTACTCTATTTGAATAATTATTTCGATTTTCTATCTCGTTTCAATTTATCTGTCCTAAGTCATAATTAGTTGGATGTTGAAAAAAAATGATTTATAAATTCGATAGACATCTTGATTGGCTTAGGAAAAAAAAATTTCGAAAAAAAAAAATAACGGAAGTACACAAATCAGATTATAACAAAATTAACTGATATTAATAGAACGAGAACTACGCCAAAACAATACAATTATCGAGGTACAAGAAACAAATTTATAGAAGGACAAGAAACTAGATAAACAATACTATGACTACTGATTGAGGTATTTATTTAAAATATCATATATATTAGCTTAAAGTTGAATTATCAATTTGTCCTTGAACATTATTATATGAAACAAAAACATAATATTTTAGTTATCCGAAAAATAAATTCACATTTCAATTACAATAATTAAGATAATTGAAAAGACACCGAATAGGGTAAATGAAAGTAATAAAGCCAGAACTCTTGGTCCTGTAAGTTCATAGTGTCCTCTTATGACAATTATGGACAGAAGATAATAAAAATCACTCTTCAATTCGACTTCACATCATTTATAGTGTCAACGATGACTTTTGCAAGTGATTCAAATCAACTGATTGGTGACAATAGTATAACAGAATTTTTACAATGACCATAGGGTGTGAAAAGGGGTCTAAAGCTGTATCAGACTGAGCAGCTACATGAACTATACAAACCACCATGTAGCAGCAAAACATATTTGCAAATTTTCAAGAGTTAGACAAAAACTTACCAGAAAAAAGAATTCAACTAGTTAATCCATGTCATCTTCTGTGGGAGTGTAAAATATGGTACACTGGAAAACCACTAATTGTACAGTCAAAAATTAACCAATATTCGGTCGAGAGTCGAAACTATTCCAGACTTTCATTTACAATACATTCTGCAAAATGGGAAAAGAGAAAAAAAATTGCTGAGTGCTTGCTTTGTGCTCACCAAAGCCATATCCTGCACATGTTTGGGGTATTACAGGCTAAGCTCGAAAGAGAAGCGACTTCTGCTACTGGGTTTTCGGTTTCTCAATCTTCACATAGGGGAAAAAACCGAACAAGTGCTTGATTTTGGGATTCCATTCACGTTGCTGAGCACGGCAATACATCAAGAATGCATTTGCAAAGTACGAGTTGAAGCCCATTAAGACGTGCCAGACTGCATGGCCCTGTGGATTAATGTACCAGCCCTGAATCTGCTTGCAGAATAATCGATCACATAGCCAGCAAGCAGCTCCGACCAACAAAGTTGCCACGTATAACTTTGCGAGGCGCTTAGCCAATGTGTCTTCTGTATGAATGTAATACTTATATGCACGAGGAGCGCAAAGAAGGCACAAAAGTGCGTAGTGTACTTTGAAACCAATGCCAAAGCGAAGCTGTGAATGCACAATGGCAAAGAGCGCACCATAAAGGAACAGAAAGGTGGGCATCGTACTCCGATAATGCCAATCTGGTGAATAGAGGATATAGATATACAGAAGCATCTCCCAGACCATTGGTGTCTCATCACCTTGCTGTTGCCTGACAATTTAATACATGAATCATAGTATAAAACAATAACAGGACACTTAAAAGCAGGCAGTATTTTCAAGGACGATTAGTTTCATCACTGTTGTCTGCAAGCATGCATAGAGAAGCCCTTATTTGAAAGTATGAAGGGCCGTAACAAAAAAGCAAGAGGCACAAGGCATACTGAAGGTGGCACTTGGTATATGATTCACAGTAAGCTTTATGTTGTAATGCTGCTCCATTACAAATATTTTCCATCTGGGAACACGACATAAATAACAAGACACTTTCACAGAACCAAAACTGTCAATATCTTTACAAGTGAAACCTTCCCGTCCCAACTAATTACATCGAAGTCAGAAGTCGGGAGGGGATTTGTTTATGTGGCTGACTGAGATTTTGCTTTATTGGAAATTAGAATTATATAGAAATACCAAGACATTGTTATGGCATATTTGACATAGACTTTCTTAAAATGACTCAAATCAGTTGGTCTATCACTATTTCTGTCATGGAGATTATTACTCAATGCACTAAAAACTTCTTGACAGGATCAAACCATGCATCCTTGTGCTCCTCTTTCCCACTATCTTTTTGAAAACCAGAATTAGCTTTGGCACTTCTATAGTTTTCAAGAATCAGTAACTAGGAGTTTGGAATATTGAGTTGTGGCTTGAACAATAGATAGGATCATCCTACCCATAAACTGAAAAAGTATGCAATTTGTGCTCATCTACAAGAAATATGCCAATCAATTTTTCAAAAGAAAGGTAGTGGCGAAACAGATTAGATGACGTTGTGATTGCAACGAACTCAAACTTCACAAGTCAATACTTCAGATACCAATATACAAGAAAATAAGAAAAATTCCAAATCTTCTACCTGTGTATTCTCTAACAGATTCAGTCTATAAAAAAAACATGACCATAGAAAAATCATACAAGAAGGGGGGTGGGGCACGGAAGGCAGTGACCTCATTCCAGCAGGAGATTATTGGCTGCTAAGTTGCTCAGACTCTTCAAAATATCAAAAGGTGTGTCTCGGGCCATTCAGTAATGCATTTTTGGAGGATCCGACACAGTATGGTGACATTTGTGAAGAGTCTAAGCAAGCATAGATTGGCTGATAGGTCAAGATACAAGTGCTCATTTGCATAAAGTAGGGGATAGTTGTAATCACATTAGCACGCATGATATAATATCTTCAGTTTACCATCTTCCTGTTCTCATATAGTTCTACAGAGATTTAACAATATAAACATCTCAAAAAATGAGGCTATCGAGCATCCTATTGAGTCAATTTCCTCGTACCTTAGCAAACAAATGATGATTAACACATACATACATACATGTCTATTGTACACCTAACAAATTTTACAGAGAATCCAACATAGAGAATGGAGAGAATGCTTACATCTGCCGCAAAGTGGCATGATATGTCATACTCCCCAAGGCAAGTATTATGTTTGACATATGAAGGACACTGAACCTTTTCTCAAACCGTTGTCTAAGGGCGTTGACAAGACCAATAAGAGCCAAGAGAATGCATGGGATATTTGAAATGGTGTTGAAGAATTCTGCAATATAGGATGACTGCACATAATTTGGCTCACACCACTCTTTAGATGTTACAGGGCCCCAAAAGAATATGCCATCTTCCATTCTGCAATCTATCCTGAAAAAGTCAGCTTGTAGGCACTTGCAGTCTACATTGCTCGGACTCTTCAAAAATGTCATCGGGTGTGTGTCAGACCCCTCAAAAGTGGTGCATTTCTAAAGGATCCAACACAAGTGCCACAACATTTTAGGAGAGTCCGAGCAACTTAGCTAGCAGTTTTGATGCAAGAAAATTACTCAAGCATTTTAGCATGTCTCAATAGTTAAGGATTAATTAAAGAGATTCAAATTTTCTAAATATATCCTTAGAAGGATGATAATCAGCAATATTACATGTGTATGAACTAAAAAGTTGCCACACTACCGATTATAATCTTCTATACAAATACTATGCACAGAAACAATGATCTAGGATGAATCACAGAATGGGCACAACATGAAACTAAAAAAGGAGAGAGAGCAGGGACCGAAGAACTCGAGACCAAAATGAGTCGCGTTATCCACATGACACTGGAACACAGGATCTCTGTGTAAACGTTATACTAGTGCGCATGGCTGTTTAAGTGACACTTCTTTAATGTTAACTTCAGGAAATTATCGACAATCCTTAAAATTTTGCCTCAGGTCTAAAAATGCCGTGAATGCTTGAGTTTGATCTCGAATAACTTCTTGTTCTTTATGTCTAGCTCTTTCATACTCTCTATCTCATATTAACTTCACGTGACTTTGGCAATCAACATTCTGAGATTAAATATCACACACAAAATTGGCTAGATTGAAACTTATGTCCCTAAAGTGGGTCACAAATGGAGTAAATATGAAGTATGCATACTTATTTCTCCTTATCAAAAAATTAATTGACAAATCTCATTCTTTTCCAATGCAGATTTCTTTTAAAAAAAATATATCCACTAAAAACTGAAACATATTTGCTCCCATAGAAGACCGGATGATATCAATTCCAGTGGGAAGATCAAATATATTGCTGAACTATTATACCTGCATAGAGGTTGATATTTGCTTGATGCTTTCTCCCAAGAAACACTACCACCAACTTTTAAGTAAAATTGCTAAATTTTCAGTTTCAGTACAAACAAAAAAGAAAGTCTATCCATTTTCCATATGCACCAGAAGTGGGTACAAACCATTAAGAATAGTGTACAATAAAGGACTGATACAATTAGAAAATTCCATAGTGACCACTGTACCAACAAAGGTAGTAGCAAAAGACAAAAATGAACCTTCCTACAATTTGTTGAAAAACAAAGGGCTTATTCTTTCAATTCTTAGATGAAAAGATCCAGCAGGTGCTTATAGTTGAATTGATTGAATGTACAACAAACACCTAAAAACTAATTTAATTAATTATGATACAAAAAAAGAAAGTCAAGCCAAAAGCATGACACAAATACTTCCACTTCGAGAAACTACTTCAATACAACACTTCCTAGACTAACTGTTCCTCAAAAAAATCTAAGAAGGAAGCTTTGCCACAAACCATTAACTCAACAAGTTAGATTCAAGAGAACTTATTCGTCTCTTTCACGAATTAATAATGTGTGAAACCTTGAAGTTCCACAAAGTCAAACTCACTTGAATTAATGTGTGAAACCCATCATCAAAATTATCATGAGCTATCAAGCATTCCCCCCCACCCCCCACCCCCACACACAAAATATACCAAGCAGTCCTATCTAAACACCCATCTTCAGCTACAATTTCGAACCTTTCTGTTTTTTTATTTGTTTTTCAATTAAGACTGTGGTGGTGATTATCCCAACTTGCACCCACCTCGACTATCTCTTACAGCACACAACCACAGGTGCAGACGATAACAACTATACTCTCCTACTGCTTAATCTAAAACCCATCTTTCA